CACAAAAAGGAGGGCCGCGAGCGTTCCGCTCGCTCTCCAGAATGAAAGCGCTACCAGGAGTGCTCCACCTGTCGTCGAAATGGCGTCGGCGTCGGAAGCATCGCCATTCACGTTCACGTTGTAGTCGTCGTCGTCGTTGTCTCCACTCCACCCAATGCACCCACGCGGGGTACCAAACAAACCTGCCGAATTGTTGCACGAGAGATGCGCCATCGGCACAGCGAAATACACCAACTCCTTCAGTGCAAGCTCGTGCGGGTAAGTACGATGCCGCCGAAGAGGAAGGACTGCCCATGGTCCACTGCGCCTGATGCGAATAGCACACTCATTTCTCGGCGCTGCCGTGCAGACATAGAGCGCTGCGCTCCGATAAGCTGCTTCCAACTAATGGGCTCACGTGGGGGTGAGCAATGAGAGGGTCTCAAAAACCTGCGCTACGCGCATTGCCCTGGATGCCCATGTTCGACACTCCGGCGTACTCATCATCCCCGCCATGCGATGCTTCACAGTTGCAACGTCGCCGACGAAGTCTACGCGCCAACGGGCGTCCTGGTCGGTGAACGGGTTCATGCTGCACACATGGAAATACAAACTCGTGCCTACCTGAGCGACGAGCTTCCTCATGCAATTGGGTCACCGCTGCCATGCTGCATCGGCTTCTTCGTCATGTGAGCGAATTTGACCGCGACACTAAGAAAAACAATCAAAAAAACCATAACTAGAACACAAACCATAAAAATAAACAATAATACAGAAACAAACACCTATAGAAAAAAAAAAAAAAGAGAATAAAGAAACATAAAAAAACAAAGAACATAAAAAAAAAAAAGCAAAAAATAGATAAAAATGGGAAAATAAACCAAGATACAAGTGGCACGAAACACTAGAAAAATAATAAATAAAGAAAAAAACACAATAAAGGACGACACAGAAAAAGAACAATAAACATCACCAAACAAACAAAAAAAAAAAAAAACAAAAAGATAGAAACTAAAAGAACAAATACAAAAAACATTAGAGAATAACAAAAAGAATATATATAAGCAGAAAAAATAAACTGAAAAACAATAACCAAGAAAAAAAACAAGCCTGCTTCGTGAACACTAGTGCTCTGACGGCGTTCCGGTTTAGGTGCAGAACTAGCTCAGGCGGCAAACACTCCGCCATGTATGCTGGGCGACGGCAGTACGGCGACGATCGAAACTTGCCACAAAAAGGAAGCATGATCACCGACTCCTCGCCCTCCTCGCTCCAAGGAGCCCCTTATGCAAGACAAAGTAGCAGGGCGCACCAGCACCTCTCCATGCCGACAGCAAGGACACCTGGAGAAAGAGGCCAGTGCTCATGGGCGGAGCTACGCTCACAGCCGAACCGCAATGCTGCAAGCCAAAATGGCAACAGCGACGACAACGCTGTGGCACTCCGGGGCGCTCCTTAGCCTTCGGCAATGCCCCGAACCACGAGGGTGAAAACCTGCGTGACCGCACGACAAGAAATCCGATAAGGAAAAAGAGGAAGAATACGAAGAGCGGAACGACCAATGTCAATTCTACCAGAGATCACGACTCTTTGCAGGAAGATCCCGAACGTCTAACACACACAGTCGACCGACTCCCACTAGCCCCAGTAGCCCGAACTGCTCGCGCCGCGAGAAACCCGATCGACTCACCCTGTGGGAACCTTGGAAGTTACCTGGAACTGCACCAAGGACAACCGTGTATAATACTGTATCCTGACAATCGGAACACCTGCAACGCCAGAGAACTAAAACCCAGGCCCCTGGACACCCGGAGGCACGATGAGCTTCGATCCGCTACATGGACTGTGACGGGATACGCCGACAGTCATGTTGAGAGTCTCGAGCTCTTACATACCTGCAAGACCTCTCAGCGCACTGTAGTCCTGCACGACTACGAAGAGCGTTCTACCTAAATCGACTCCGCCCCGTCTTTCCAGAAGGCAAAGCGAACCACTTCAGCCCACACGTTGCGTAACGCTCCACGCGTCACCTGCGCACGAGCGCGGCAAACGACACTTGGGACGACGACTCCCAGACCTCCACATGCGCCTACTCAACATCCGCAAGAAAACTGGCGCACCACTCTTACTCTCTAGGGAAGAGGCAGAGGACAACGTTGAACTTCTATGCATGTCTTTCCGTGCATTCTTGATGTGTGTCGGACCGCCTTTGATGTATGCGTGCGTCTGCATTGAATACATGCGTGTATAGGTGGGAAGGGGAATCCATGATCTGATGTCGCAATGACGATGGATCCTGCGGATAAAATCTCGAAAGTGGCGCGTCTCCGAGACATCTCGCGCTGACCGCCGCGCCTGCATGTCGCCGAGCGCTAACCGCCGCGACGACCTGCTGACACGAACGCGGGGCGGATGGAGAAGAATATGACTCACATGAGATGCAAAAAGGGAGATCTCGTAGCGATGCTGGGCTACGTGCGGCATTTGCGCACACAAACCACCTCGTGCCAAAAAAACACAGTAGGCGCATGCGTTACGGGTAGGCGGAGCGAAGCTCACAGCCACACTCCAATACTAGAAGCCAGACTGGCAACGACAACAACGCTGGTCGGGAAAGATCGCTGGTTTCGACGACGACCGCCCTCAGTCATTTACTACAACGACTACTACGACTACTACGACGACTCCTACTATTACTACTCCCACGACTACTTCTACTGCTACTACGAAGTCTACTACAACTACTGCTGCTACTACCCATCGTACCACTGCTGCTCTTCCTCCTACTCCACTCATTCATTTTACTAAGGTTTTGGGCTCATTTTGTCCTTCTCAGGGGGCGGCTCTCCTTCGCGCTTCTGCGGAGGTCGCAAGAGGCCCCAAGATGGCCCCAAAAGGCTCCCCGGAGGCTCCCAAGAGGCCTCCAAGAGGCCCCCCAGACGCCGCCAAGCGGCCCGAAGAGGCTCCCAAGAGGACCCCAAGAGGTCCCCAAGAGGCCCCACGAGGCCCCAAGAGGCCCCCAAGTGGCCCCCAAGAGGTCCCCAAGAGGCCCACGACGCCCCAAGAGGCCCCCCAGAGGCCCCCAAGAGGCCCCCAAGAGGCCTCCAAAAGAAGCCACGCGAGGCTCCAAGAGGCCCCCGAGGGGCCCCACGAGGAGCCCGAACGACTCGCATCAGGACGAGGGGCCCAAACGACTCACACCACAAGAAGGGGCCCGAACGACTCACACCAAGACGATGCGCCCGAACGACTCACACCACGAGGAGCCCGAAGGACTCACACCACGACGCGGGCCCCGAACGACTCACACCACGAGGAGCCCAAACGAGTCACACCAGGAGGGGGAGCCCGAACGACTCACACCAGGACGACGGGCCCGAACAACTCACACCACGAGCACCCGAACGACTCACACCAGGACGAAGAGCCCGAACGACTCACACAACGAAGAGCCCGAACGACTCACACCAGGAAGAAGGGCCCGAACGACTCAGACCAGGACGAGAAACCCCAAACGACTCAAACCACGAGGAGCGCTTTCTCTCCCTCCTCCTTCGCCTCGCCCTTCTCCCGCCCCCCCCACAAGGAAGATGTGCAAGGAGGCGGGGGGAAGGAGGAACAGGGGAGATATGCGGGGCCCAGCGGACACACGCCTGAAAAAACACGACTGCCGGCGTGCTTCGCGAGATTTGCTGCTGTGAGATGGGCTGGTGAGGAGGGGCCCGAACGACTCGCACCAGGACGAGCGGCCCGAACGACGCGCAGAAAACTCCAGAAGCATGCGCGCGCGAACGAACGGCCCGAATAACTCCGAGAACACCCCCCAGAAAACAAGCGGCCCGAACGAGGGAGAGCGGGCCCGCCTTTCAGCCAGAACGTGGGAAGTCGTCGACATCGTCGTCGAGGGAAGGCGAACGCGGCAAGGGGGATGATGATGATCTCCTCCTCCCCCGTGAACCGCCAGCCCCCCAAAAAAGGGTGGGCCGCTCGGGCGCTTATACAAGGCGCCAAAATTGAAACATTCCTGGAGACCGCCTCTGCAGGAATTCAGGCGCAGCCCCTCCTGCAGCCGCGCTGCGGGTGCGCCGGCGGGCGCGGGGGGGGCGGCGGTGGCGCCAACGCGCAGTTGGTAGCTGTCCTCCTCCTCCCCCACCATCGTAGCGATGATGAGAATGATGGGCATCCTGCGATGATGAGGCCCTGGGTCCCGCCCCAGAGTCCCAGGCCCCGCCCTAGGCCGCGGGCCAGGCCCCCTCCCCCCATCGACTCTCAACTGCGTCCGCGTTATATATGTATATATATATATATGTATATATACATATACACATAAAACACATACATGTCAATATAGCTCGCCCCCCCCCCCCCCCCCCCAGCACCCCCAAACCGCGGACTGGAGGGCATCCTCTCCTTGATCTCTCCACCCTCTCCACACTCTCTCTCTCTCTCGCTCTCTCTCTCCCTCTCTGTCTCTGTCTCTCTCTCTCTCTCTCTCTCTCTCTCTCTCTCTCTCTCTCTCTCTCTCTCTCCTTCTCTCTCTCTCTCTCTCTCTCTCGCTCTCTCTCTCTCTCTCTCTCTCTCTCTCGCTCTCTCTCTCTCTCTCTCTCTCTCTCTCTCTCTCTCTCTCTCTCTCTCTCTCTCTCTCTCTCTCTCTCTCTCTCTCTCTCTCTCTCCTCCCTCTCTCTATCTCTCTCCCTGGAGGTCGCGATTTTGGCTGCAGCTTTGATTTTCTCCTAAGCGTCTTTGCGATGTCCGATAACCAGAAGAGCACCAAAACCCCTACGCAGAAGGAGATCACCCGCCAGAAGCGCCAGTGGGCGGAGGCAGTCGCACAAGGGCGGACCTTCAAGCCCAAGAACGGATGGTATTTCAACACAGAGGACGAGCAGGCACTTTTCAAAAAAAGCAAAGCTGGCGCACGACGGGGAGGTTGACAGCGAAAACGACAAGAAGGAGAACAAGGGGAAGAAACAGGAGGAGGACAAGAAGGGGGACGAGAAGGATTAGATTACACCAGGGAGGACACGACAGAGAGCACGAAGGAGGACAAGAACGAGGACAACAAGGACAACGAGCTTTCCTGGGAGAAGAGGGTGGAAGCCAAAAAGTCTGCAGCACAGAGCTCCGCTTGGCGCCCTGCGCACGAGAAGGACGACAGGAAGGAGGACAAGACAGAGAGCAGGAAGGAGGACAAGAACGAGGACACGAAGGACAACAAGCTTTCCTGGAAGGAGAGGCTGGAGGCCAAAAAGGCTGCAGCGCAGAGATCCACTTGGCGCCCTGCGCGCTGGTTCTACAACAACGCCATTTGCATCAAAGGGAGCGACTGCCCCTTCTTCCACAGGGCCCAGAAGAAGCCCCGCGAAACTTGCCGCAAGTTCGCGCAGGGCCTCTGCTACCGAGGCAACAACTGCTGGCACGCGCACCTGGAGGGGAAGGGGGTGGACAAGAGCAAGGGGGAGACGAAGCAGAACGACAAGACGAACGAGAACACAGAGGAGGTGAAGAAGGAGGAGAGCAAGGAGGTGGAGAAGGACGGGCCCGAGGTGCAAAAGACAGGGGACCAACTGCAGGAGACGCCCAAGGAAAGGGCACTCGACGAGGAGATCCTTCAGCAAAGCCGCGCGGGCGAGTGGGAGCAGTGCACGACCAAGACCAACAAAACAGTCGCGCGCTCCAAGGCCACAGGGGAGGTGCGCCTCACCCCGCCCACGCAGAACGAAATTGAACAGGAGGGCGCGAAGTTCGCTGACTTGAAAAAGGCGCTTCTTTTGAAGAACAACCAGAAGCATTTCAAGGCGGCCAATTTGGCCGCAAAGTACAACATCAAGTTGGAGGGGCTGAACAAGGACAGTCGGCGGGGCCAAAACAGGCAGGAGAAGGAGGAAGAAGAAGAGGAGTAGGAGGAGGAGGAGGAGGAGGAGGACGGGAAGGATGTCAGATAGGGAAAAAAACGATGACACCACCGATGCCCCAATTTCCCCCCTCTTGGTTTTTTTTTCGTCCGTTTGATTACCTCCATCCTCCGCGTTGCTTCCCCAGCGAAGGAGGTCGATAAAGTGCGCGCCGCTGAGGCGTGGAGGCAGGCGGATTTCAACTACCGCCGCCAGCGGGCGCTGCAGGGTTGTAAACGGTAAATTGCCATAGGGTGGGCATTGCGCGTCTTGTTTTTTTTCGCTCGCCTCAGTTTCGGATGGGGCCGAAGCCAACTGGAGAGAAACGACAGAAACGCTCGAATGACAAATTGCAGAAAAAAGTATTAGATTCTGCATTTATATGTTCACGTACAGGAGAAGAGCCGCGGCGACGACCCTGGGGAAAAAAAGGTGCGCCATGAGGGGGGCCAGCCGCGGGCGCATGCTGTTTCAAATGTGCAAAAAAAAAACAGCAGGAAAGCCCGAGAGGCGAAGTGTAGAAAAAAGTATTAGTTTCCGTATGTGTAGGTTCATCACATGGCAGGGGGCCCAGCAGCGAGGGGACCCAGGAGGGGACCCAGCAGGGGGGCCCAGGAGGGGCGCCCAGCAAGGGGGCCCAGGAGAGGGACCCAGCAAGGGGACCCAGAAGAAGACCCAGCAGGGGACCCAGGAGAGGGACCCAGGAATGGGGACCCAGCAAAGGGGACCCAGGAGAGGGCCCAGGAGTAGACCCAGGAGCGGGACCCAGGAAAGGGACCCAGGAGGGGACCCAGGAGGGGGCCCAGCAGGGGGACCCAGGAGGGGGACCCAGGAGAGTGACCCAGCAAGGGGACCCAGGAGAAGACCCAGCAGGGGGCCCAGGAAAGGGACCCAGCAAGGGGACCCAGGAAGGGGACCCAGGAGGGGGCCCAGGAGGGGACCCAGGTGCGGGGGACACTGGGGGGGACCCTGGAGGGGACCCAGGAGGGGACCCAGGAGGGGGCCCAGGAGGGGACACAGGAGGGGACCCAGGAGGTGACCCAGGAGGGGACCCAGGAGGGGACCCAGGAGGGGACCCAGGAGGGGGCCCAGGAGGGGACCCAGGAGGGGACCCAGGAGGGGACCCAGGAGGGGACCCAGGAGGGGACCCAGGAGGAGACCCAGGAGGCAACGACGGCTGAGACAGCGGCCATGTCGTACCTACCACTAGCGCGCAACAGTGTTAACACGCATAACATTGCACGCGCGAAATACCCAGGCAAATCGACAAAGCTTGCATCCGTAGCCATTGGCTCAGAATCGTTTCTTCTCCACTGCTAGGGGGCTCGGGGCTCGCGGGACCATTCACCGCGGCTCACAGGTGCGATGGCTCAGCGCTGGCATGCAGAGAAATGCTGCCCGTGGGAGAAGAGGTGCCAGGGCTGGGACCTTGCCGTCCCTGACATGCTCGGAGCATTCCTCGACGCGCTGCCAAAGCCATCCAGCGCGCACAGAGAGGGCATCACGAACGAGAAGGGCGCCCCAGCAGAGAAGATCACGTTGAAGTACGCCGAGGCGAGCGGTGACGGGAAAGTGTGCTACCACGGAACGTGGGTGGGTGCGGTCCTACCAATCCTTCAGGAAGGCTTTCGTGAGAGCCACGACCGCCAGGTGCACGAGTTTACCACGCAGGGGGTCTACGTGGCGCCGAAGTGGGGCTTGTCGGAGTACTCCACGGCGTGCAAGATGATTGAGTTCCCGAACGACGAGACCCCCTACACCCGCTTTCTCTGCAAAGTTGAGGCGGTTGGGCAGAGCAGGCCGCTGAAGACAACCTGGTGGCAGGCGTGCTACGGTGCAGAGCAAGTCCGCGTGCTCGAGCTGCACGTTGTGCGCGGATGGGGATTCCAGGTCACTGAGCCCGTTCACAGAAGCTCACCTGAGAACGTGATGTCAGTTATCAGGAATCTGGCGCCGCGCCGAGACGTTCCGACGCCGATGGCCGCCCCCGCCACGCAGTCGGATCCATGGATCTCAGAGCCGCCTAGCTTTCCGCCTGCTCCTCCGCCAATCACATGGGTGGAGTACATGTACAATGACGTGCCGAACAAGAGGAAGATGCCGTACTACGTGTGCAACGCGACTGGGAAAACCCAATGGGAAAAGCCCGACCAGCCGTTCATTGCGTTCCAGGCTCAGACCACCATTGTGGAAGACCCTTGGAGCGTCGCGGTGCCAGCGCCTTCCTCGAGCACGATGGAGCCCATCAGTGTGAACGCCATGCCTTCACGCCACGACCTCGTCTTCAAGGGCGACCACTGCTGCCTTTGCAATATGAAGGCCACGGGCGAGCACATCAAGTCCAAGAGGCACCAGGCGCGCCTGGCATGGTGGGCAAATGCCAGCGAACAAGAACGGGAAGAATGGTGCCAATGGACTCTCAATCGCCTTGATACGGCATAGTCGACTTCTACGACAGAGGACGATACTTGATTTTCCATTGACCGCGGCGCGCGTCGGGCGGGCGTAAGCACCCAGCGCGCGCCGCAACTATGAACGCACATTATTTCCCGCAAGCGCAAAACAACATCGGTTCGGTCGTCAGAGTCGCCGTCGCGGTCCAAGGTCGCAGTCAAAGCACGCAATAAGGATGAACAGCTATCCACGGGTACCCTTGCATCCTTCGTCTTCGCCTTGCACCACTCGGGCGTTGCATCCTCGAAAATGCCAACCTGGTCGGCCGAGGCGCCTGCGTCCTCATCGTGAATCGTTATTAACCTTTCTGACTGTGGCTCAGCATTGCCGACTGCGCAGTGACCGCGGCGTTGCCGTCGCGATTGTCGCCGCCGATACACGCGATAATGTGATTGCGAAGTTGAGGGCGGAGGTGGGGGTGGGATCATTCACCAGGGGGGTAGCATCAGCGTCGGCGCCCAGGAGAACACTTCGACGCCGCGCCCAGGGCGGCGACGCCGTCGGGCACGCGGCGGCGCCGCCGGCGCGCTGCGCCGCGCGGGGGGAGGGCGCGGCCGCCGACCGCCCGCCGCCGCTGATTCATATGAGATGGCACACCCGTTGCAACGTATCAAGCTGCGTGCAAGAGTGCGCGGTTATTCACGTCGGCCATGGCGCGCGCAGATGCACTTGTCTTGTTCACTGCGTAAGCGCGCCTTGCCTGCCGTGCGTCGCGCCGCACGTGCAGACGCGACTCGGCCTTCCCATTGTGGATGTGATGAGGGCTAGTCGTTGCCGTCGTCGTCGCGTCGTCGTCGTCGCCAGACTTCCCAGCGGCCGCCCGCTCGCCCCCCCCCCCGCCCTCCGCCGCCGCGAGTGCTCGGGCCCCTTCGGAGTGATCTGGCATCTGGCCCGCCCGCCCAGTGATCTGGCATTCCCGCTCGAAAGCCACGGCTTTCGAGTACGCCTTCGTCCAGAACGTCGCGCCTGGCAGCCCCATTCCGCCCGACTCAGCGCGGCGCAGGATCGGGCTTTCGCAGTCTCAGCGCTTGGCCGCGGGCGAGGACAGGGGCGGTGGGAACCTGGCGTTGGTTTTGCCGCGTTTACACGGGTGGTGCTATTTGTTTTTCATTGAAACCCAATCGCCCAACTTCGCACTGGGGCGGTGACCAGTGTATTTTCGGTTGGCCCCAGGACAAATTCACTGTGTGCATCTGGCCCAACTTCTTCCAATTTCAGAAGACTGGGGTCCCCTTCCTGGCGCCAGGCTTCGCGGGCCCGCTGTGGATGTCGGAGGACCCCGCAGTAGGCGACGTGCTTGTCCGCGAGTACATGTGCCTCGAAGTGGCGGCGGAATGCGCCCGCCACGAGGACCGCGACCGCGTGTGCACCTTGGCACTCACGTCCCCCGACCGCCCGCGCTGGCACGACACGGTGGAGGTGGAGTGGTCCACCACGTGGTGCAGGATGGAATGGATCGTTCAGCAGATGCTCGGCCTACCCCCCCACCGCGCAGTGGTCTTTGACGCGGGGCGCTCGCCCGCGCGCGCGGCCAATGATTTGGGGGTGATCGGGCGGATCTCGGCGGCGGAGATCGATCGGCGATCGCGGTACTAGCGATGGCCATTGATACGCTACTGCTGCTGCTGCCGCGGCTTTGCTTTTGCCGCTGCAAATGCCGCTGCAAATGCCGCTGCGTATGCCATTGATGACACGGCGGCTGCTGTTGCCATTGCCATTGCCACCCGCGCCCATATCCCCGCTCCCCTCTCTCTCTCTCTCTCTCTCTCTCTCTCTCTCTCTCTCTCTCCCTCTCTCTCTCTCTCTCTCTCTCTCTCTCTTTCTCTTTCTCTCCTCTCTCTCTCTCTCTCTCTCTCTCTCTCTTCTCTCTCTCCCTCTCTCTCTCTCTCTCTCTCGCTCTCTCTCTCTCTCTCTCTCTCTCCCTCTCTCTCTCTCTCTCCTCTCTCCCTCTCTCTTCTCTCTCTCTCTCCCTCTCTCCCCTCTCCCCCCCCCCCCCCCCCCCCCCCCCCTCCCACGCCGCCGCTGGGGCTGGCACGACCGAGGTGGGCGGCGTGCAGCCGAACCACCGCATGCACGTGGGACCATTGTTCGGCCTCCGCGGCTTGCGCCGCCGCCTGGGGTGACTGAGTGAGCGGGTGGCCACTTCGGTGGGGGGGGGGGGCAGCCAGCGGCCAACGCTGCCCCTCCGTAAGTATAACAACATATTGTTTTTGTAAACTGATTGACCCGACTTAGCCGTGCGATTTGCATGTTGGTTCGAAGATCCGAGAAAAATGCGTAATCTGCCGACATGGAGGTTCCCGCGCGTGGTCACCCCCGCCCCCGCGTTGTCCTGCCGCCACTAGTGATCAGGCTTGTTCAGAGTGTCCGAACGCTTTCGCACGCCCACAAGCCCTTGATATAACCCTGATCATGGGCAACCTCCCCGCCCTTGGGATGAAGTCGCTGAGATTGCAGCATGCCGCAGCTTGTTCTGGCTCAATTGACGCCAGCCGCCTCCGCCAGCGCCCTCTGGTCGGGCAGTCAATTCGGGCGGCTATGGCCAACTTCCCTTTGCCGAAGAGGGGGAAGCGCAGGGCGGCGATCCAGGATCGAACGGCCAAGCGCGCGCCGCCAAGCAGGAAGCCCAGCAAGAATACGAAGGGCCACAGCGCCATGAAGGCGGTGAAGAAGGCCGAGGACAGCCCACCCAAACGCATACCCTACGCGCGGCACGGGATCCGCACGGAAAAGTCTCGGAACGACAGGGTGAAGTGGTGTTCGGGGTTGTCCGACTTCATGAACAGGGGCGAGAAGCACGTCATCAACGTGCTCAAGAAGCACGGCCACTTGCCAGAGTGGGCGGGGGCCAGCTGCCCGCATTGCACCAAAGGCACCCTCGGCACTCTCAAAAAGTGGTCCCGTAAGCAGGGCGGGTGGGGCCACAGGTGCAACCACAGCGGGCGCCATCGGCACGTCCTGCCGCACGCGTTCCACCCGATCGTCGTGGCGGGCACGGGGCAATCGCACGCGCCCCTGCGAGATCAAGCGCCTGCCTTGTTCTCGGCCGTGGCGGGGGCCTCGCAGGTGTGCCCTGGGCGCCTCGTCGACAAGAACCACAAGATGGTCGAGGGCGTTCACGGCCGCCTGTATGCCACCAGGGAGACGCACGTCACGGCGAAGGAGAAGTCCATCAAGTTCGGGCAGGGCGAGGCCTGGAAGGACATCGAGGCCGACGAGGTGGACCTTGCGAAAAAGGCATCCGCGGACGGCGGCTCCGAACCTGTCGACTGGGAGCAGTGGGGCGGGATCGTGGAGAGAGGTGCCCCAGAGACGCTCGTGCTCTTCAGGCTGAAGCCCACGCGGACGAAGAAGAGGGCGCCAGGCCTAGGGGCCATCCGCAAACGGGACTGGATGCCCGCGGCGAAGAAGCGGCTCAAGGGCCGCCGCGTCTTGCTGCACACGGGCGGCGCCAAGAGCTACAGGGTCAAACTGGACGGCGTGAAGCACGACTACGCTGTTCATTGCCGCAAGCGCGTCAAGGTCCGCGGCAAGTACATCTGGGCGAAGCCGAAGTACGCCAAGCCCCGCTGGCACAACTTTGCTGATGACGGCGCCCCCATGAAGAAGCTGCGGGCGATGGCCGGCACTTAAATCATCGACCGCTGTTGGGGCGGTCTCCGCAAGCACCTCGGCAGCCAGAAGTCGGTGCACACAAAGATTCTCCGACAGAAGATCCGCTCGTTCCAGTGGGAGTACTGGAACCGCGGCGCCGACTACTGGCAGCGCACGGGGGACATGCTGAGCTTCTTGTGGCACAGGGATTTCGGCGCATGAGCCCGCGGGGCTCGACGGCGCGAGCCAGGGCGGCCAGCGGCCAACGCTGCCCCGACTAATATCAAGCTATATATAATGTCACGGTGAACTTGTCCGTTTCCTCTGGCGGGGAGACGTCGCCCACCCCCCCCCCTTCCCCTTGTGCCAACGTGCTCGCTATTTCGCGCCGTGGGCAGCGGCAACTTAGATATGCAACATGCGTTATATCATCCGTGAAAAAATGAGCGCCCTTCCAAGCCATCGCCCTCTTCGTTCTTTCCCCATCGTCTGCTGTCCAGGTCTGCCAATCGGCTGACCAAGGTCTGTGTTCCAGGAATAGACGCAGGGGAGGGGGGGGGGGGGCGCTCGCTCGCCTGCAGTATTAGCCGTGCGAGGTGCACGTTGGTTCGGACAGCGGAAAAGTTGGCCACGGGCCGCGGTGCGTCTGGCCCCTGCCCCACTCGCGGCCCCCGCCATCCCGTTTGAGATTGCATGATGCCGCATCTAATGGGTTCTGCATAATGCATCGGCTCAAGAGTTCAACGCCGCCGGCGCCCCAGCTGCGGAAGGCCGTCGCCGCCTTCTCTGTGCTCTACGCCAGCGCCCCATCTCCCCCAATCACATGGCAAATCTGCCAGCCCTTGGGATGAAGTCTGTGAAGGCGCATCTGGAGCTCGAAGGCGCTGACAGCGGGAAGATCAAGGATGTGTACGAGAGGGCCCGCGGGAACGACGTCGTCCCGATGCACCGCACGGCGACGCACCCAGAGATCTTTCAGGACGACCCGCCGGCGCTCTACAAAGTCCACGATCTCCCACTCATGCCATCCGAGGGGAGTAAAAAGATGAAGCACGCGATTGCCGTTGTCCCGGGCTACCAGGGTGAGATCAACGTGGATGCGGTGCGGGATGCTATGCTCGTCAATGATTACAATGGCCTCCCAGAGCCTCTGCGCCCCAAGACTGATTGGGAGGCCCTGTACACGATGCAGTTGGCCCTGGTGCCCGTCCCGCATGGCGAAGGGATGGACATCGTCAAGTACTACGCTTTCTCTGTCCCGCAGTCGGTGACCGACATTCAGAACCGCCTCGCCCTCGACGACGAAGTCTTGTACGCCGCTTCTTGGGGCAAGGGCGGGGACGTCAAGACGCCGTGGAAGGTCTTGGTCTACATGATGGATCGGCTTGGCGGCACGCACTTTCGGTACCACCTGCCCCCGCAGGAGAAGGGCGACAAGGAGAAGAAAAAGTGCCTTCCTCAGGACGTGATCGTAGCCCAGTACCAGTTCATTAAGGACAACGCCCCGCGCGGCAACTTCGATTGCGAGCAGATGATGTGGATCGACTTCCAGCTGAACGACCCGCAGAGCCCAATCCACCATTGGAAGGAGGGGAAGATCAAGGAGGTTCTCTCGCACATCAAGGACCAGAGCACACAGGCGAGCAAGGTCACGCACTTCCCCATCTTCATATTCGACGCGGGGGAGGAGGGCATCGAGCGCGCGAAGCGCCTCGTTCCGACTTTCAAGAGCCACTCTTGCCTCATGGTCGGCGAGGCTGGCGAGGGGAAGACGCCGTACTTGGAGACCATGGCGCCCGCGATGGGTGACTATTACGCGGACAAGCTGGGGAACCGCAGCGCGGCCTCGCACCGCGCGGCGCCAGACCTGGACTTCTTCCGCGCAGAGGAAGGCACGAAGCACTGCCCCTGCGTGTTCGACGACGGCGATTTATTCGACCAGCGCCCGATGACGTTGAAGGCTTTCCTGGACGTCGGCCAGTGGCAGGCCATGACGAGGGAGAGGTGGGGGGCAGCGAAGTTCGTCCGTGGTCAAGCGCGCTTCGCCGCGGAGAACAAGTACGACGAGGCGGCCGTTCCTAGCTGGGACGCGTGGCGCGGCCTGGACGTCTTGCCGCTCAAGCAGGCGGTCCAGAAGAGGAACGAGTTCTTGTTCGACACGCTGAAGCCGACTTTCCCAAAAGACATGTCCAAGGCGAACGTCATCGCGATCGCGAAGCGGTCTTCCGTCGTCATGAACACACCTGATGACGTCTTCGAGCGCCTGGCGGGGTTGGGCTCGGACGCGACGAGAACCCCAAAGAACGGGCATTTCATTACCAAGCAGGCGGGCACCATTCTCTACAACTACATCGAGAACGGCATCGAGCGGGCCCCCGAGGAGTACAACGTGCTGAGGGACAAGCAGCTCCGCTTCATGAAGGGGTTGCTCGACAAGGGCGCCGTGCCCATGCCCGTGCCGGTTAAGAGGGAGCTCGTCGACGGCAGCGAGGACGACGCAGACGCGGCGCTCCGCGAGCCTCTGCCAAGCCTGCCCCATCGCATCAAGTGGGCCAGGCCTTTCGGGAGCATCCCAGGCGGCCAGATTGACATCACGACGCCGCCGCGCGCGGCCCGCGCGTCGTAATCCGCGGACATAGCCCCCGAGAGTGCCCACGACGCCAGCTGCCCCCTGGGCACTCAGGATGTGGATGCTGCTATGGCCGACGCGGATCTCGGGGACCAGATGGGCCTTGGCGGAGGCATGTCTGGCGATACTGACTGAGCGGGCGGCCGACAGCCAACGCGGCGCTTCGGCCTTGCGTCGATTCATCCCCTGATTGAGCAAGTGGCGGCCAACGGCCATAGCTGCCCCTTTGCTATATAAAACACGCGCCCCCGTTGATAGTGCGGGCGCAGCAAACGACGGCATGCCATACTCATTGAAAACGCCATATCTGCCTGGCTCCGCTATGCCTGCCTCTTTCTTGTCTCCCTCTGTCCTCGGCTCCTCTTTGCTGCTGGTTCCCTCTCCCTGCTGTTGACTAGGAAGCACCAACTGATCGTGTTCTCCTCCGTTTCCCCGTCCGTCTCCTCCTCGTTCTCCGTTCCTCCTCCTTCTCCTCCTCCCCCTCTCCTCCTCCCCCTCCCCCTCCTCTTCCTCCTCCTCCTCCTCCTCCTCATCCTCCTCCACCTCCTCCTCCTCCTCCTCCTCCTCCTCTTCCTCCTCCTCACCCCCCGACGCATTGCGGAGTACTGCCATACCTTGACCCCCTCCTTGCTCCCCCCCTCCCCGTCTTCCTCCGCCTCCCTCAGGGACAGTGTGCCAGGCAGGAAACCTTGTGAAAACACAGATAATTCTGATATGTTTGGTGGTTTTCTTAAGGAAACCCTGGTAAAAAACACAAATAAAACTGATATGTTTGGTGGTTTTCTTTAGGAAACCCTGTAAAAACACAGATAAAACTGATATTTTAAGGTTTTCTGGAGATGGCGCCCCCCCCCCCTCCTCCCCGTCCTCCTCCGCCTCCCTCAGGGACAGTGGCGCCATCTCCAGAAAACTTTAAAATTTTATCACAGTTTCCTTATATCTTTATTGTGTTTTTACAAGGTTTCCTTAAGAAAACCACCAAAAATATCAGAATTATCTGTGTTTTCACCGGTTTCCTGCCTGGCACACTGTCCCTGAGGGGGGCGGAGGAGGACGGGGAGGAGGGGGAGGGGGGGCGCCATCTCCAGAAAACCTTAAAATATCAGTTTTATCTGTTTTTACAAGGTTTCCGAAAGAAAACCACCAAATATATCAGAATTATCTGTGTTTTTACATGGTTTCCTTAAGAAAACCACCAAAAATATCAGAATTATCTGTGTTTTTTACAGGGTTTCTATGATGAGGGTGAGGAGGAGGAAGAGGAGGAGGAGGAGGAGGTGGAGGAGGAGGAGGAGGAGGAAGAGGAGGAGGAGAAGGAGGAGGAACGGAGAACGAGGAGGAGACGGAGGAGGAAACGGAGGAGGAGAACACGATCAGTTGGTGTTTCGTTTGTTTTGGGGTGGTCTGGGGGTGCTGGGGGGGGTCGACCATATGTATATGTATATGTGTATGTATGTATGTATGTATGTATGTATGTATGTATGTATGTGTACGTGTGTGTAAGTATGTATGTACGTATGTATGTGTGTATGCATGTAAGTATGTATGTAGGTATGTAGGTAGGTAGGTAGGTAGGTAAGGATGTAAGCATGTATACCTATATATATATATGTATATATATATACATACATACATACATACATACATACATATGTATGTTGTGTCCCTCCCTCTCTCCATCTCCCCATTTATCTATCTCGGAAAGGGCGTGTTCTACCGCTGCTGGCGGAAAACCGGGGGGGTCACTACCGGTTCGAACCCCTCCCCCCCGCCCTCCGGAAAACCGGGGGGGGTCACTACCGGTTCGAACCCCTCCCCCCCCCAGTCCATCATGAAAAGGGGGGGGGCCACTACAGGTTCGAACGCCCCCACCCCTCGAAAACCGGGGGGGCGCCACTACCGATTCGAACCCCCTCCTCCCCCCCTCGAAAACCGGGAGGGGGTGCGGACAGTGGTGGGGACGGTGGTGGTGGGGACAGTGGTGAGGGGACAGCGGGACAGTGGTGCGGACAGTGGGACAGTGGTGGGGACGGTAGTGGTGGGGACAGTGGTGAGGACAACGATGGGAACAGTGGGGACAATGGGACAATGGTGGGGACGGTGGTGGTGGGGACAGTGGTGTGGGGACAGCGGGAACGTGGTGGAAACAGTGGGACAGTGGAGGGTACAGTGGTGGTGGGGACAATGATGAAGGCGGTGGCGAGGACGGCGGTGGGACAATGGGACAGAGGTACAGTGGGGACAGTGGTGGGGACAGTGGGGACAGTTGGTGTGAACAGTGGGACAGCTCAGTGGGACAGCGGAGGAGTCAGTGGGACAGTGGGGACAGTGGGGATAGTCGGGCAGTGGTTGGGGCCGTGGAGAAAGTGGGGAGAGTGGAACCGTGGTGGGAACAGTGGTGGGGGACACTGGGGACAGTGTGGTGGGGGCACTGGTGGGGACAGTAGGGACGGTGGTGGGGGGAACCAGTGGTGGGAGTGTGGGAAGCACAGGAGGAGTCAGTGGAGTCAGTGGGGACAGTGGGGACAGGGGTGTCAGGTGGGGAACAGTGGGGACCAGGTGGGGAGTGGGACAACCCCGGGGACCGGTCGCGGGAACAACAGCGGGGGATGTGGTGCGGACGGTGGTAGGGACCGGGAGTCGTACGCTAGCGGCGAGGGGGGGGTGGGAGGGGTTCGAACCCGTAGTGACCCCCCCTCCGGTTTTCGAGAGGGGGGGGGTCGAACCAGTAGTGACCCCCCCCCGGTTTTCGAAGGGGGAGGAAGGGGGGGGGAGGGGGGAGGGGTTTTGCCGGGGAAGGGGGGGTCTGAATCCCAGGGAGCCCGAAAGAGGTCCACGACCAAGGAGTCCAGGGCCTCGAGCTCCTCAACACAGGATCGTCAATATGTTCCGCTATATTGACGCTGGATTGTCAGAACACAATCAGAGAAATAAAGACGGCACCCGCTGCCCTCGCAAATCTTTCCCGGCACGTCCCCAGAGCGCGCCACTGCCTGCGAACTCGCAGGCGCATCCAGAATGGAATCCCGCCAACCCTCGCCTGATCCGAGGTGGCGGCGGCACACTGCAATGATAATGGTAGCAGCGAGCGAGAAGTCAAGCACATGAAACAAACTCGGTACAACTGCTAGCAACAGGAGATACCCCTATCACATTCAGACAGGGGGAAAAAGAAGTTGCAGTGTGCCAGGGGCCCCGCTGGCCCAAAACTGAACAAGCACAGGAGCAGGTCTCATTCACGAAGATTTCTGCTGGAGGCCGAGCACTGGTCGTACACTTTTGGCGCTGATCCGGCCGGTGGTGGTCCGCACTGTTGCTGTTGTCGAAGCTGGCGTCGCTTCTCGATGACCTCCTTGGCCGACCTGGGAGTCGCCGGGCGCCGTCGGCTCGAAGATGCCCTTGCCCAGCGCCGCGCGCTTCCGCGCGCTCATGAAGTGCTCGTCGTAAATCAGCCGCCATTCCTGCTTCTCGAGGAACAGCTTCAGCACCCCGAACGCCTGCCAATTGCCCTTGGTGAGGCCGTCCGCGATCTGCGCGCGCGAGTGGACCCACCTGACCACGGCGTTGCCCTCGTCGAGCGCGTTCCGAAGTGCCAGCGCCTCGACGGCGGCCCGGCGCTCCCCCAGGCCCAGCCCAGCCGACTGGGACCGCACCACGCCGTCGTAGAACGCCTTGCAGTCCGTCACGAGCACCGCTGGGATGGCCTTCAGGAGGGTGGCCCGCTCCTGCGTCGGCGAGCGGTTGTACAGCAGCTCCGACAGGACCATCCGCACCATACACTGTTCTCCTTCAGCATCTCCAGCCTCTTGAACTTCGGCAGCCAAACTCGAACGGGCCACGCGTCGTAGTTTCTTGGAGCCCCAGTCGAGCACTGTGAACTTCGCCTTCTCGCCCTCGATGGCCTGTGCAGTTGCGATCGCCGTCAGATGTCCTCCTTGAGAGTGACCGTCGGGCCGACTGGCCCAGGCTGCATCGCACCAGGTGGACACGGCCAGGTCGTCGAATTGTGCCTGTAGATCTGGAGGCCCATGCGCTGGCGCTGCTTAATCAGCTTCACGATGTTATTGGCCGCGCTGAACAAATTGCGAGCCCCGCCTGGGATCTTGGACTGCAGCTCGGCCACCCACGACAACACGAAGGGCACGGTGTTCACGCCCAACCAGTAGACCTCTCCACAGAAGGCCCGCAGGATGGTCTGGTCGCTCTCGCGCAGGGTGTCCGTCGAACGGTGGCGGCCTCCATCAGCTGGTTGAACTTCTCGAATCTTGTCCGCGTAGGCGTGCTGATGAAGAAAGAAGCCCTGGTCGTTCTCCTCGATGGTGACCCCGCACTGCTCGAGGCTCTTGATGGAGTCGTCGATCATGTCCCCCCAGGTGCCCCACTCGTAGAGCTTGCGAATCTGCTCGAAGATGCTCGCCCAGAGACTGTGGCTGTTGTCACCAGCCAGGATGAGGTCGTCCACGTGAGCCATGGCCAACCCAATGAGACGAGAAGTCTTCGGAAACCGAACTCGCCATAGACAGGGTTCCAGCTCACACGCTTGAAGTCCCAACTCTGCGAAATCGACCTTCACGGTTTCCCACCAGTGCCGAGGAGCTTCGCCGATGCCGTACCCTGGCTTCATGACCTTGAGCACCTCGCCTTCCTTGACGTCGAATGCGCGTCGGAGCACGGGATCGGGTTCAATGAAGAGGCCCTTCTCGAGCTGGTTCGCCTGAAGGAATGCCGATGTCACGTCGCCTTTGATCAACTTCCAGTGGTTCGCGGCGGCCACGGTCAGCATGACGCTGCGAGCCCCTCGGGAAGCCGTTGGACTGGCAGTGGGCTCCTTCCCGAGGGCCTTCGTCTGGTAGCCGAGGAGTACGAGCCGCGCCTTAGCCTTCCCGTCCGACTTTCTTGTGAAGAGCCAGCGTGCTCTAATGACATCTGCAGCATCCTGCACTCGTTCGGCTGGCACGGGTCGTAGCCCCTGATGTTGTTGCCAGTTGTCGACCTCC